TAACATCCCCATGTCTCCATTTCATCCTCTGTGAAATACGGCTACGAAGCATATTGGATGAATGGCAGTAGTTATTAAAGGCCCACGACAGTCAGGTACATAGTGGGGGTTCTGAATAGAGAGGTCAAAGGTTTACACACAGTATACAAATCTTGTCAAGTTTTGCTCTGCAACCATCATAATGTGTCTGAAGCACCTTCTATTTAGAACATAGCAGGAAAGAGAGCTGAACAGCTGGGCACCGTCCTTCTACATCTCCCTCCTTTATACAATGATTCTAGGTCCATGCCCTTGATACTTACGAACAAAGTAAGAGACACAGTGGCCTTCTTCCTTCTGCCCATCGATATTCTCACTTTATCCTATTAATATATCCCCTCACCACTGCACAGAAGCAAAAGGCTGTAATGATGGAAGAAACATAAATCAGTGTATGCCTTCAGTCACACAGCTTGCCAGAAAAAGACTCCAAGGGTGCTTTTGATCAGTTTGCTAATGACAGGAGTTAGCTATACCTGTTGTTCTAAGGGCCAATATCTTGGATTCTTTTACTGAGATCTATCAAAGAACACGGTGAGTGGGAATGCCCTTATCCAGCCTCAAAGAGAGTGGGTATTGTTGTTCTCATGCCCATACTGATATTTCTTGTCTGGCTCTCCACGTCTTCAATTTCTGTTTGTCTGAACTGTCATGCCCCTCAAGTAGTCCTTGCCAAGGAGAAAGCAAACACAAGTCCCCAACAGTCAGCTGGTATATCTTTGAACCTGCTCTGGGCTTTATGTTTTATCTCCCGTAACTCATGAACCTCTAGACTCCCTCTGAGCTCATTTCCTATTCATGACAGGCGGCAAACCTTCAAAACACGCTGTTTCTGTCTTTTCCCTGTGTAGGTAAGGAGATATTTCTGGATTCTCCACTCTCCACTCTCTAACTGACTTCTAACACTTCGCTCCACTTGAAAATGAACTGCTTAATTAACCTCTCAGGCCTCCTTGGCCTTTCTGGTCATTAAAATTGTGCCTACTACATACAAGGTGGCTGTATTTGTAACGGTCATAGCAGTCGGGGTTCACACTTGTCCCCCTTCACAGAAGAGGATCTTCCCAGCATTAAGAGTTGTTTATTATAAGCACTGATGGACCTGCAATCTTTTTACATGGGAGAAAAGCCCCTTGAGGTTCAGAAGTGAGCTTGGGGAGGATGAGCGATCAAAAGCACTAGCCTTGAGCCACATGCCTCCGTCACCAATATGTGACCAGGATGGCTCACTTCATCTTGCTGAGCCTCTTTCTTCCTCTGAAAGAGGAAAAAAAAAATAGTGAAAGAGTGGTGCTGATGTTTACCTGTGCTTCAGCTTTGGACATATCAAACAAATGCCCCCAGCAGACAACTGTGCACACAAAGCTTTGTAGACCAGAAATACACTCAACAAACACAAGGCTCAATCCATGCAGCTGCCTCCTGGCTAGGCAGGACAAATGAACTAACAACATGGCATGCTCCAAAGTAACCCAGCTCTGCACTGTCACAGGCTTCGTTCCCAGCCATCTTACCACACCTGTCCTGACTTCCAATAATGTGCTTAGTGCTGCATTCTAGAGAGCCCTATAGCTCAAATCCACAGGGCCATGAATAAGTCCCTGGCAAGCAGAACATGCTGTCCCCCAGTCTCTGCATAGTTCTCAATAGAGCTTTGACCAGCTCTGTTGGCAAATGAATCATTAATCCATGTTCAGCTTTTCCCATATGGTATAACATTGTTGTTCCTCTCCACTGATATATCTGTGTTTACCTCTCAGTTCTAATTTCATCCCAGCAGGAAGGCCCATTAGTTGCTGTTGAGAAAGTTTCCCCATTAACTCATCTGAGATGTTCTGTACTGGACTCACAGGTCCACGAGGATACCAATGGGGCCCGAAACCATCCATTCGTGTCCAGTTCTGATCCGGAGGACTGATACTGAAGTGCTCCTGCTGATTCCTCTCCTACATGACTGTAGTGGTTTGAAAGAGAATGGTCTTCATAGGCTCATATGTTTAAATATTTGGTCTCCAGTTGGTGGAACTGTTTGGAAAGAAGGAGAGGTCTGGCCTGGTTGGAGTATGTGTGTAACTGGGGGTGGGCTCTGAGGTTTTAGAAGCTCACACCATTCCTGGTAGCTTTTTTTCCCCTCTGTTCTGTGCTTATGAATAACATGTAAGTTCTCAGCTACTGCTCCATCATCATGCCTGCCTGCCGCCATGTTCCCTGCCATGAATGGGCATGAACTCACCTTCTGAAACTGTAAGTCCCAATAAACTGTTTCTTCTATAAGTTGCCTTGGTCATTATGTCTCATCACAGTAATAGAAAAGTAAATAAGGCATCCTTCAAGGGCTTAAATCTTCGTCCAATGGAGACATCACTACCGGGATTGGGTAAGGACATATCTCAGTGGACTCCCTCAACAGGCTAAAACCAGCAAGGCTTCATACCTTGGAAGAGGACAGCACAGTGAAAGAGGACCAAGGTCTGGCCTTTCTGCTCCTTGATCAAGTTCTTAGCATCCCTGAGCTTCAGCTGTCCGAAGGAGAGTAATCATATTGAATGCTATCTTATGGAATATTGAATTCCACAGTGAAAATTGAGTGTGGTGGGAAAAGAATAATAACACATCTGGAAGGTTTGTTTGTTTTGCCAAGCTGTGACTGACCAGATTACAAAAATGCCATGGCCCACACCTTAGTTCATCCGTCTAATAAGCCTGTTTATCTGTTCTCCCCTGTTGCCAGCATCTCCACCTTCCACAAAGTGAGTGCCTTTTTCTTCATTCCACCTCGTGGAAGAGAAAGTCTGAATGGCCGCAGGAAGTTATTTGCTTCCTTGAAGTGTTTTCCAACTATACAGAGCTCATGAATTAGATCCTCCATGCAGATGGTACAGAATTTACCAAGAGATCCAGCAATCAAAGAATTATCTGCCAAGGCAATTCGCTGCTTATTGATTTTGCCATAACATCTCTTGTACATTCGCTCATTTACAGACCTCAGGTTGGGGTACCCCCACACAATATGTAGTTCCACAATCTTCACATGTTAATCAAAGCCTTGCTGAGCTTAGCAAAGGTGCCACGGAAGATCTCACAAAGACAGAGAAGCTGCAGTACCTTTTAGACCTTTGGCCTTATACCACTGATACCTCGGATTCTGATGACAAATGCCAATTTTGGTTCTGCAGGTACATAGAAGTTTCCCGCTTTCCTTGCCATCCTGGCTATCTGAATCTCAGTCAGGTACATCTGCCTGTACTCTGTGATAGCACCAGACCTTCTCATAGGTAAGCATCCTCCTGGCCTTTCGAAAGAGCAAGCCACCACTCTATCAATACACTGGCAGGGTGATTTCCACAGGTAAGCAGACAACCACACGGAACAAGATACTCCAGCTGTGAATGCTCCATTAATTGCAATTTGAAGTCTTCTACACAGTTCTCAAGGCAAACAGGAGCAAACAAAGCTTTCTCAGGGAGTAAGGTTGTGGTTGAATGGATGGATGGAAACTGAATAAGAGAACCATGCAGGAGCCCCAGCAATTGGAGAAGTATAAATATGACCAAAGGCTCTGAACACACCTGCCTGTGTCCACCTTTTGGTGTTTTGGTTGTTTTGTTGTTGTTGTTTGTTTGTTGCTTTGTTTACTTGTTTTTAACACACACAGGGTCTCTTGATGACATGGAACTCACCTAGTGGGCTGCTCTGGCTGGCCAGTGATCTCTCTGGCTTTCACCTCCAGCTCTGAAATTGCAAATGTGTGCCCATGGGTTCTGGGGATTGCTTGCAAGGCAAGTACTTTATCAATGAGCCATCTAGGGTCGTTTTTTTCTAATTTTTGTATACCAAAAATACCCATTAGAACTGAGTTTGGATTAAATACAGTAAGAAAGCTTTAACCCTAAAACCATGATTTCTGAGGCTAAGAACAGCCTCTAATAGGGGCCCAAGTGTAGACGTAGACTGTCAACAGCCAGAGCTGTGTTCAGGACCATTTCACTATTTTAGCCTTGAATTGAGGCTGCTGTTCCTGGGGTTGTTAATGCTTTGTGCACACTTGATGGATTTACTCTGCTTTGTGACTACGGACGGTACATGCTAGTAAACGTCTTGATGAGCAGCCATGGGCTGTGACCATGGTAGGCAGACTCCTAACAGGGCTGTCAGGGAGCCCCTCCCACCACTGTGTGAACATGCTGCCCATCCCACCAGGAGGAGGGCCTTATTTCTTCTCCCTATAAATCCAGACAGTAGAAATGATGCTTATTATGGTACTTTGACGCCAGGTGTGTCTTAACAGAAGCCAGCCTCTATACAGGATGGCCAGCCACCTTGCTGTAAAAAAAGCTTAAGCTTGACATAGACTGGTCACAAAAAAATGAGCCTGCACATCTCTGATGAGAGCAAGACCCTATCCAAACCAGCCAGCGGCCAAGAGCAGCCAAATATAACCAGATGTGATAGCACAAGGAGAACCACCCAGTCATGCATAGCCCAAATCGCAAAAGTATGAGAAATAATAAATCACTGTTATTTTAAGATACACGGGAGTAAATAACTAGCATAGCAGTCTTCATTTCACTTAAAAAGACTGCTATGAATGATGTCATGCACTATCTAGACAGAGTCCCAATTCTGTGCATCATGGAGCTGAATTCACCTGGCTGGAGCTTTGGGAAGTTGTGTAGGCTATGTGCTCCCCGCTCCTGCTTCACCTGTTAATCCTCTACCTGCCTTCATCGTGAGTTTCACCTGCCGGGAGAGGCCTAGCCTGCCATACTCCAGCTTTTACTCTCCCTTCCAAATTTTGGACAAGGCACTTATTATAGTTCAGCTCTTGAATGCCCTGCAAAGGTCCACGTGTCAAAGGCTGAATTTGCAGTATGGTGCTACATAAGAAGTGGGGCCTGCTGGTAAGTCTCTTAATCATGGGAGACATAGCTTAAAAAATACAGTAGGATCCCGGCCCTTACCCTTTCTCTTCTCTTTGGCATCGAGGCCATAGACGCTGTTTGCTTCCACCTTGATGTGCTTGCTGTCCTGCCATGGAATCAAAACAATGGGATCAGTTGATCCTGGACTGAAATGCCCAAAACTAAAGAAGAAAGCATCTAGAAAGGAATACTAGAAATTAACATAGAAACTGCAGGACACAGCAGTAAATAACTCAAATGAGTTCACCATATATACAAAGGCCTCTTAGAAAGGCTGATGAACCACAGAAAACCTTTCCTCTCGAACCGTAGGTTAACCTCTTATCCAGTTGTGCAGTGACGACAAGAGTGTGCTCAGCTGCTGTTCAGGCTGTACCACAGACCTCACCAGTGCTGGAGGGCTTGCCGAGCATGCTCAAGGGCCTGGGCCTGACCCCAGCCCTGGGAACTAAATGGATCATGAGTGACGGAAATGTAGGCTTCGAGTTCTGAAGGCTGGGAAGAGATCAAGGTATTGGAAAATGTGGCATCTGTCTTCTAAGCTGTCACCAACATAGCAGAAAAGGTGTGAAACCCCTTCAGAACTCTTTCACAAGGCCTTTGATCACACTGCTGAAGGCAAAGCCCTCAGGACTTCCATTACAAAGGAATTAACTCTCAATACCATCCTACTGGTGATCAGATTTTAGCACAGGATTTCTTTCTCTTGAGGTTATAACATAATTTAATCATTTCCCCCCTTCCCTTCCCCCTCACAAAACCCATTTACCACTTCTTGCTCTCTTTCAAATTTTGGTTGGCTTGTAACTCTCTACATAGAGTAGGCTGGCCTTGAACTCAGAGAACTGGCTGCTTCTGCCTTGTGAGTGCTAGGACTAAAGGTGTGGGCCACCACACGCAGCTACGAACATGGGAATTCTGAGGGACACATTCACACCACAGAGATCTCTTTTGCCTCTTTCTCATTTATATTTACCCTATCTTTAGGCTTCTCACGGTGGTGGACAGGGCAGAAGATATAAGCACACTTTGAAAAATATAATGCTCTCCTTTGACCAGCTGTCATTTCTTTTCTTTTCTTTCTTTTTCTTTTTCTTTTTTTTTTTTTACAGAAAAATCTTTTTTAAAAAGATTTGTCCTCGGAAACACCCTGCAATTTGAGGGTATTGCCACCAGATGGCAATGGTCTGCAAATCAGAATCCACGAAATCCTAAGAAATAACTACAGGATGATGCGTCCTCAGGAATATATGGAGGTCCTTGCCTGGAGAGGGAACATTTTGAGTATTTCCCCTGGGTCTGTGGGAGGAAGAATCCCTTTCCTCCTTTATGTAGATCATGGAAGGAGAAAGGAAATGAAAGTATCCAAAACCTGAGGCCCACTAACAAGCTTACCAAGTAACTCATGGTTGACAAGCGTCCTCTGACTCCCTCCTCAGGACAGCTGTCTAATTATTGCCCCGTATTCACAGAGGGGGACCCTGAAGTTCAAATACCTATCTGCCCAGATGCAGCTCTCACCCCCTCAACACCAAGAATTTTCAGGTGCTTCCACACTCCTCGGATGGAAGGGCATGACTTCCGTTTAAATTTTCTGGTAACCCTGACTCTTAGGCTTCTTACAGGGCTGTTAACTAGAGATAATTTGCATCATTCATAATTCCCCTAGGTTGTCTTTAAGCTAGCCTGATCAAATCAAACCTGGCAGCTCTGACAAACCAATATTGATCAGAAAGATTGCTCCGAAATGTTTTCTAAGCTGTGTTTTAAAGCCACAAATTAAAATCTCAAAAAGCTCTTGGAACACAAATACGATAAAGGCCTCTGCAAGGTCTGACTGGATGGGTATGGGTTTTCCTGTCGCTGCACGGCAGGGACCGTCAACATGCTTTCCATTCCTGGTCTGGGCCACTTCTGAGATGCTTCCACTCAGTCACTGAGCCCCTTGTTGAAAAGACAGAACCTGTCTGTACACGGACGATGATACAAAGCGGTCCCCAGGACAGTGTCTAAGGGAAAACACAGGCAAGGGGAGGGTCTGATTTCTGCACACCATGGGCAACTAACTTCAAGGCAGCATTTGACTTGCTGAGTAGCAAAGTCCAGAGATGTCAACACACAACTCCCCCTATTATCACACAGAGCAAGGAAAGAGTACCAAAAAGGGCACAAGAAGGTGTGTGGGGAGGAAAGGACCCTTCTCATCCCAGCAGAGTGCCTCCTGGAAGGCAGAACATTTCTTTGAGGGTCAGCTTTGGAGGAATCTGTATAGTAGGAAACACAGGCAACAGTATCAAGGGCCAGGGAAATGTAACTGATGAAAGCTCTAAGCCAGTCCTCCGCAGCCCAAACTGCAACCAGAATCAACCTGGGAGCTTTAAAAAAAATACTTGTCTAGTATCCAGAGTATATAAAAAACTCAAGCTAGACACCAACAAACCAAACAATCCAAGTTAAAAATGGGGTACAGAGCTAAGCAGAGAATTCTTAACAGAGGAATATAGAATGGCAGAAAAGCATTTAAAGAAATAAATGCTCAACATCCTTACTTATCAGGGAAATGCAAATCAAAACAACTCTGAGATTCCATCTTACACCTATCAGAATGGCTAAGATAAAAAACTCAAGTGACAACACATGCTGGAGAGGATGTGGAGAAAGGGGAACCCTCCTCCATCACTGGTGGGAATGTAACCCTGTACAACCACTTTGGAAATCAATCTGGCGCTTTCCCAGAAAATTGGGAATAGCACTACCTCAAGATCCAGCTATACCACTACTCCTGGGCATATACCCAAAAGATGCCCCACCATTCAATAAGGATATTTGCTCAACTATGTTCATAGCAGCTTTATTTGTAATAGACAGAATCTGGAAACAACCCAGATGTCCCTCAACAGAGGAATGGATACAGAAATTGTGGTACATCTACACAATGGAACACTACTCAGCTATTAAAAACAAGTAAATTATGAAATTTGCAGGCAAATGGATGGAACTAAAAGAGATCATCCAGAGTGAGGTAACCCAGAAACAGAAAGACAGGCATGGTATATACTCACTTATAAGCGGATATTAGCCATAAAATATAGGACAGCCATCTACAAAGACGCTAAACACTAAGGAAGACCCTACAGAGGATGCTTAAATCTCATTCAGAATGCAAACAGGATAGACACCAGAAGTGGTGGAAGAGAGGGAACAGGATGGGAGCCTGCTATAGAGGGTCCTCTGAAAGGCTCCACCCAACAGGGGATAGACACAGATGCTGAGACTCAGGGCCAAACATCGAGCAAAGCACAGGGAGTCTTATGGAGGAAGAGAGGGATGGGGATAGAGGGACATGGAGAGGACAGGAGCCCCACAAGGTGACCAACAAAACTAAAAGATCTGAGCCCAGGGGGTCCTGCAGAGACTGATGCATCAATGGAGGACCAGGCATGGAGAGGACCTAGACTCCCTGCTCAGATGTGGCTGACTGGCAGCTCAGTCTCCATGTCGATCTCCGAGTGAGGGGAGCAGTGGCTGCCTCTATCATGAACTCAGTTGACTGCCCCTGATGATGCAGCCTTGCCAGGCCATGGAGGAAGAGGATCCAGGCAGTCCTGATGAGACTTAACAAGCTATGGGCAGAGGCAATAGTGGAGAACTGCCCCTTTCAGTGGACTAGGAGGAAGGAGGGGAGAGGGGATTGAGATTGGGGAGAGTTGAGGGAAGGGTCTTCAATCGGGATATATAATGAGTAAATTGTGAAAAAAAATGTTAAAAAAAAAAATACTGGTCTAGCTGGACCTGTGAAATATAACCCTGGCAGATCAGAATGTCTGGGGCTGCTTCCAAGCATCTGTATTATTTTTAATGGTTCCTATGTACCAGGAATCTAAGCACACTGGATAGATATAAAGCATAATTAGGAATTAGAACATATTATCTTCTACCCCTGCCCCTCTTCTCCTCCTCTGCTTCTTCTTCTTCCCTCCTCATTCCCTACCCCCTCTCTCTAATCACTCAAACACAAGACCAGAAATGGAAAACAAAGATTTTTTTACAGGAGAGACAAAGACATCCTCTTCAGTGGTACAAGGCTGTGGGTACCAACAGCTCCTTGGAGAGGGGAGATGGGATGAAGCTACTGATGTTTGTAGCTTATGTGGTCAATGCTTGTGCTTTATGTCACTATTTAGTATTTTACATACAGGTCAATATTTAAGCTCCACATAAGTCATTTCCATCTAATCTTTTTGTTATCCATGTTAGCTCTTAGACTAAATGTACATCAGTGAGCATCAAAGATAAATATACAACTCGATGGTTCTCACTGCCTAGACAATCAAGGTCTCCTGGTATGGGAAGCAGAGGAAACATAGAGGACTCCTCCACTAAAGCTTTTTGTCAGCTGGGTTTGCCATACACACCACAAGGGCACAAGATGACTAGTAAAAGTTGGGGACACACTTTGCAGGAAGAGGGCAACAGCAAACCAACAGCCTGTACCTAGTTCTAACACTCATGATTTTACTCCCTCCAGATCAAGAACTCTGCATTGCCCAGGTTATAAAAAGAGAGCATTTTATTTTATTTTCATTACAAGCCGTGCCACAGAGACTTGCTTCTTCAACTAGGTTCATATCGTGTAGCTTCCAGGGGTGCACGAACTGGATGGGAAACGATTCACTCTCTCTGTCATATTCCCAGAACACTATACTGCAGGTGCGTCGTATGGTTTAATAAAGAAGAGAGGCACAAGAGTTTGGACAGGTTCCCTGGACTGTAGCAAGCGACAGCAAGGATGTGCTGTAGGGAAGCAAGTGGTACACAGATGCTGAGAAGTGATACACCGTTTGCTTTTTCTCTCAGATTCTCTCCCAGCTGAGCTCCCAGCATCAGTCCTCTGGCAGAAGCTGTAGCCACTGTGGTGAACATGAATCCACTCTCTCCCCAATATGCCATCTGAGGTTTGTAAGACAGACATTTATGATTCCAAATCCACCACTACACAGAGGAAAGCTTGAGATAGGCAGGAACCTGAGAAGCACACTTATCCAAGCTTCTCAAACTTGATCTGCACCAGGACCTCCTGCAGGGGTCAGATTCTAGCTTCAGACT